ACCATCGAGCTGATTTCCTCGGGGTTGAACCTCTTCATTTCCCCACGAAATTCAACCTGAATCTTTGGCTTCCCTCCATCATTTAGGACCTTGAAGGGCCAGTGCTTCATGTCATCCTGAATTTTTGGATCGTCGAATTTACGACCGATGAGTCTTTTTGCGTCGAACACTGTGTTCGCAGGGTTCATCGCCACCTGATTCTTCGCAGCATCTCCAATCAGTCTCTCTGTATCTGTGAAGGCCACGTAACTTGGAGTTGTCCTGTTCCCCTGGTCATTGGCGATGATCTCCACTTTTCCCTGTTGCCACACACCAACACACGAGTATGTGGTACCCAAGTCAATACCAATTGCTGGCATTTTTGTATTTTAACTTCACTCTTTTCACTTCTTACTCGTTTGAATTCTGTTTCTATACTGATGCCGAGCACTGCCGAACGGTCCCTTTATATACCCCCACCCGGCGCCCTCGTATCTTCGACAATGTTCGAGAATACCGCAACGTTCAAAATACGATTTTTATCGAATATTTGCACTATCCATTTGGCTTACTTATCAATTTGCTTTGTCATTATTCAGAGAATAATCCGGCGAAATCCATTAGATTTTGAATGTGTATTTATCATCAAATTATAGAAAATTAGACTTTACTGGGGGATTTATGGAAAAGTTCTGTCGCATTCTGGAACAGACGAATGATGTCGAATGATGACGAATGATGATGAAAATCGTGAAACTTTTGCGATTTTGACAAAAAAGAACGCGGACATTACATTTCATTTTTAAACATGATTTATCGCAATGACTCAGCCACTTGACCACTGCGTATTGACGAGAATATTCGAGTGAAGTTTCAATCTGGTTTATATTCCTGTAAATAATTTGATTATCAAGATTTCTTTAATGTACGCTCATTGCAATTTTTATCAGCAATTTTTCGACATTTGAGGGGCAGAGAAATTCATTGATTCAGGATTTTGGCAATTTTTAGAAGAGCGCTATATCTATGGATCATTCTAGAATATTCTAGGGGAATTCTTGGAAGAGTTAAAAAAAATATTTTGTTTTATTTGTCATGTGATAATTTTTTTTCTGTGGATTTTCGCAATTACATACTGAAATCGGCATTTTCGCATTTTCGCAATTCAAACGACACTTGCGCCAGAACCATGGTGGAGGCGGTAGAGTATTCTAGAAATGTCCAGAACCGACGAGAACCTTCTACCGTCTATAAGATTGTCATTTCAGCTGATCTCAGCCACCCAGTCACATTCAAAATACTCCGAAACTTAAAATAATTGTTGAAGCTTGAGAAAAAATCTTATTTAATGGCGAGTAACGAGGGAGAAGTCAAAATGGACAACAATCAGGTAATTATCAGCAAGAAATGGCAGAAAGATTGTTGAACATCGCGAACGTTTGCTTTAACCTCAAAGCTACAAATTTCTCTCAACAGATATTTTTTTATTTTCCAGATGCCCACTCCGAAGATAAAACACGACTGGTATCAGACAGAGGCATTTGTTATTGTTACAATTCTTGCTAAAAATTCCGAAAATGTTAAAATTGATTACGGAGAGACAACCGTAAGTAATTATCTATTATTCTCTTTATATATCTCCCTACAATTTATTTTTTAATTCATCTTTCATGGAAAGGAAATGATAAAATATAGGAAATTCCAAAACATTCGAGAACAGCAATTTTTAATTATCCAGAAACATCTGGGACTTTCTAGAATATTGTGGATCTATTTGGAGTATTCTCGTATTAACTTTTATTTCTTATTGATCTCTTCAGCTCAGTGTAAATGCCAGATTACCATCTGGTAATGACTACAGCCTGGAATTAGATTTAGCCCATTACATTGTGCCAGATCAGTGCTCATTCAAGGTGGTACCATCCAAAATTGAGGTAAAGCTGAAGAAACGTGATGGGCTAAGATGGACAGTGTTGGAAGGAAATCCAGTCGCTGGAGACGCTGTAAAATCAATACCAGATGCAATAATGAGAAATGAACCGCCAAAGTATCCAAGTTCGAGTAAAAAATCAAAAGACTGGGATCGAGTAGAAAAGGAAATCGAGAAGGAAGAGGAGGAGAAGCCCCAGGGAGAGGCTGCTGTCAATGCACTCTTCCAGAAGATTTATGGAAGTGGATCTGATGAAGTTAGACGTGCTATGAATAAATCATTTGTAAGTGATAAATTATAAAATAATTATCGACTCACGTACGTCTTCCTCCCCTCGTATCTCCTATAATTTTCCGGACAAATTATGCAATAAAAATTATATAGACTGGGATGAAAGAAAAGGTGGAACTTCTTTTTCAGCAAGTTCTCATTTTTTGTCTTCTTTTTTCAGCAAGAATCTGGGGGAACTGTCCTGAGCACAAATTGGAATGAAGTTAGTAAGGGCAAGGTGGAGACAAAGGCCGCAGATGGTATGGAATGGAAAAAGTGGGACTCATAACATGTATTCCCTTTTAATTCTCGCATTAATCGACTTTAA